AAGTTAGTTGAGTTGTTTTGTTGTTCCTTTTGTTGTCTGTTGATTCCTTCTGGTTGCTGCCAGTTTGATTCTTGAGCTCATGGGTGGACTTTTTCACTGGCAAGATTTTCACTAAGCATATTTTCCTAGCTCAACACTTTAACTTTGTAGTCCTAACTTTTGAAAAAACTTGTGAGTCAAGTATCACAAATAACTTCCTTTTTTCACAATACTGGTATAAGTGAACCATTTTTTGGGGTGGAGCCAGGGGTGTTTTTGGTGAAGCACAGCTGCATGCAGCTGTGCTGAACCCTGGGAAAGACCCAGGAAGCAGTTTCACACACACACAAAAATACACTCCCAAATCTGGGAGAAAGTTCAAATCCTGCCACCGTCTGCAGTAAAAAAATTCCCTGCCTTTTGAGGGATCTTTTGGAAGATTTTACTGCCCTCACATGAGGGGAAGAAAATACCCAGTTTACAGGGTTCTTTCTCTGTTGTTATTCAACAATTGCCAGCATCTGGCTTGTAGGGTTTCCTGGGAATTGCCGCGCATCCACCAGAGTGGCAATTCAGGCAAGAGAAAAAGTAATTTGTCCATTTTCCTGGATGACAGCTAGGGGACACAGTTCACCCACCCATACTGGAAATTCCCCACAACTGGGGTGACTGAACACCCTATTTCAAAGTTGGTATAAATCACACAATTCAACATATAGTGTATGCAGTACATGTTTTCCTAGGTTCTTCTGGAGGTTTGAGAGAGGTGTTGTCAGTTTGAAGATGCAGAGAGAAGTGATGAAAATGGTGAGAAAAGAGTCACCAAGAAAACTATACTCTGGGATACCAAAAAGGGGTTGGCCACAGATGGCCTCAGAGATAAAAGACAGATGGTTGTACAGAAGAGACCTTGCAGGTCAGATTACACCCCCTTTTCAAGAATGGCAGTGTTAGCAGACCTTGGAGGTTGAATTTCACCCCTCCAGGAAGTCCTGGGAACAGCAGGACTTCTTCCTGTCCCAGGTAGTCTCCAAGGGCAGAGGAGAGAAGTTTTGGGAGGGCCAAAACTTGTCTCCTCTTTTTCAGAGTTTCTACCATAAAAAATTCCCCACAGTTGAGACCACAGGGATCACAAGACCTGAGGAAAATACTGAGCCTTTTGATGTTACAAAATAGAAAGAAAAATGAAGAAAGAAGTAGTACACAATGGAGAGAGATTCACAGCACCAATGTTGTGGAAAGAACATCTAAGTATTCAAGTTTCCAAATCACACACTAGAAGCTAGAAGACATATGGAACTATTGGAAAAAGTGTGTGGCAAGAGACATGAATCTGAAGCAGATATACTATGACACTTTCAAGAGGGACTTGGAAAAGGGATACATTTGCCTAGCATTTTTCAATGCCATCCTTTGGTTTATTTTCTTGGAACATTCTTTGATTTTTTTCCAAAGCAATGTGGTTGGTTTTCACATATGACTTTCAAGAGAGTTTTTTCAAAATTTTTTGTAGTCAAATGTTTTTTCTGCATTCTTTGTTGCACATATTGGAACCATGATGAGGCATTTTTAAGCTTTTCATCCTCTTCACTGAAACTCTCAATCAACATTGTTGGGGAGGGAGCTGGGAATGTACGTTTTGCACCTAGACTGTTGGCTACAAATAATTGTAAGTTGATAGTCAAGAAACTCCAAATTTTTAGAGGTGTGTACTCAGCTAGGTCACTGAGTAGGCACCAGAGTTTGCTGGATCATTGCAGAAGTGGTCAGGTGAAGTAGTTCAGACAGGAGGAGCAGGGACATCAGTTACAAGATGGTATGGGCAAGACCCACACAAAGTTGCTGCTCACTTTCTGCAGAAACTGACTAGTGTGGAGAATAAAACAAACTCCAGAGAATTTGCTATCCACAAGTTTTATTCACAGCACAGGGGTGAATTTTACAGTTTCTAACAGAAAATAAGCCTAAGTGCTTATTTCAAGATTTTAATCAAGAGCGTATATGCAAACATGTTAATGTAAATGTAAATGGTTTGTCTGCTGCACAAAAAACAAATACATGGTCAAAAATGCAACAGGACAGTCAAAATACATCAGAATACATTCCCTACAATTGGGAGCAACTCAGAACCACTCTTCCCAAGACAGAACACAGATATGACTGGTCCTAAACCAGGGGGAAATCCTGATTCCAGAAAAAAGGGGGGGTGGAAATTTCCACCAAGAACAGTAACCTAATCCCCTTGACAGCTTTCAAAACAAAGGGAAAAAACAGCTTCCAAAAATAAAGGGGGAGAAGGCTCAACTGGCAAAAGCTGCCTGGAAACCCCTCCCTTCTCAAAATCGCACAAAGAGGTGTAATCAAGGCTGAAATGGCTGACACAAACGTGCCAGCCTTGCCAACCTGGCATTGCTGTTACTAACCAATAAAACCAAAATGCCTTGCAGTGGGAAATTTGCAATTCACCACAAATTAAACCAACTGAAACATTTGTTATCCTCAATGTTTAAAGGATTGTGAGCCGGGTGTCTAATAAATACACTTTTATTCAGCACCGGCTCAGTGTTAAACACAACACAACACAAGACAACACACAAATAGTTTTAATTCTCCACAGACTGAGAAACTATTCAAAAGTCTAAATAAAAAATCTTTATGACTTTCTAATTGTAAGGTTCCTCACTCAACTCCAGAAAAGCTCTTAGTCTGCTAAATGGAAATACTCCATTTAGGTAGACTCTGGGGGAACCAGGGAGCAGCACTTCTTTGTGCCTCTTCCTGCATCTGGTATGTTACTTAACTAGATAAAGAAAGGTTACTAAACTCTTCCTGATGAGAAAGGTCAACCTATTGTAGGAAGAGTGTTTTCTCCATCACTTCTCTTCAATACATTTTAAAAGAGAGAGACAGGAGGGGTTTATTCATTACTCCTGTCAAATGCCAGATTGGCGAGAAGATCCTGACATTTACATTACCCCATTTCCTTGAAGTAAAGAGGGCAGAGGAAAAGAGGAATACAGAAAGCATTTCCTTCCTTTTCCTAAGATATCACAGTGGCAAGAATTTTCCCCAGAACAATTCAGGGATAAATTCTCCCTTTAACACAAAAGAGAATATAATTTCATGCCCAAAGAACCCTTAAAACCCAGTAATTACATCTGCTAAAATTTAATAGCTTTAACATTTTGGACTCTGCCATTATGCAGCTGATTTGCTGCTCAAGTAGCCCATCAGCAGGCAAAAAAAAAAATCATTGGCTGCACGTCAGCAGCCAAAAACTCATGAGCTGTCCATTGGCAGCCCAAGAGCTCATTGGCTGCTGACTGGCAGCACCTAGATGCATTGCAGCTTTGACATGTATGATTTGAGAGGTTAAGACGAGCTTTGTTGTCCTTTTTGAATTAATAAAAATAACTGTGAGTTGAGGTTAAAAACAGTTTATTCACAGAATACAGGGTTGACAAACATCAACACAAACAGGTGAGAAATGTATTTTCAAACTAGACTCTAAGAATAAATGTTAAGCCTCTCTTCTTTCTACTGCCAGGTCTAAACACACTCTGAGGCATTTAAATGGAAACTCTCCATTTAAAAAGACTCAGCTATATATTCATATAACACTCAGGAAAAGAGACACAGGAAATGATATCCATTCAATACAAGTGCAGATGGCCACACACAGGGAAGGAAAAGTGCCCCATCATCAGATATATATGAGGAAATGTTCTTCCATCTTCTGAAAGAACATTTAATGGGGACAAGGTCAAGGAATGTTGGGAAGGTCCAATCTCCCAACCATCTCTCTTCATGAATGTCACCTTTTACTGGGTTTCACAATATTCCATTTAAATACTACTTGAATGCAGAATGGAATTAATTAAGACAGTGGGAATGGGGAATACATAAAGTATATCCATTTTCCAGGATAACGGCTTGTAGATAGCAAATGACAATTGAAGAGGATGTTTTGAGGAATTCTTAACTGCACTGGCAAAAATAGAAGGAGAATTAAACAGGTGCCCAATTGCATTCACTGATGATGGGTCAGGAATAACCACATATCACGTATTGATGCCAGGATCAACAGAAATCTCTTTTATCCCCTGGGCATCCATTGTGTCAAAAGTCCTAGCAAGCATTCAAAACCTAAGGACATCTTTCTGGAAAGCTTGGAGAAGTGTTCATCTTCATTCTTTGAGAATCCACAGAGCCATAAAAAATCCCAGTTCAGAGTTGCAGAAAGGAGACTATGGCTTGGTGGATGACAGACAAGCAAATGCATTTCAACCTGTCTGGACAACTGGAACTGTTCTGGAAATTTTGCCAGAAAGAGGTGGTCAAATAAGGGGTGCAGTAATGAGGACAACAAATGGAGATTGGCAACTTGGGATCATCTGCCTGTTCCATCCAGAGATGCAGACTTCTGATGGGCTGAGCTAAGAGGAAAAGAAGCCAAATGACATTATCTCCTTTTCTGGGGGGAGTGTTTCAACAAATTATTTTTAAAAATGTATTTCAAAAACATTGAAAGGAAACTCAAATTTAATACACCCACAGCTGCAGATATTTTTTTATTTCCTGCACTCAAGTCCAGACTAACTGAGGCGTGACATGTGCTTGTGGCCAGGACAGAGTTAAAACCATCCTTAGGAGCAGCTGCTCCACCAATTGGATTTCCAGGAAGTCCATTAAAAACAGAAACTCTGAAATAACTGCAACAAAGTTAAGTGGTTGCCCACATGGAATTTCAATTTGCAGATTTGCAGCTGAACTACCTAAAAAAAAGGCATCCCATTGAAAATTGTGTAGAGGAAGATTGAGGAAGATTTAAACCTTCCTCCCTAGGCATCCCAGTTGTTCTACATTTGTTCAAGATTCATTCTGAGCATTTGGCAACTTCTGATGGAGCTTTTTAAGTGCATTTCCACCCCATTTATGTCAGTGTTCTGCAGTTGTTCAAGAAGCTTTTAAGCTTCCTGGGAAGGGGAAATTAAGATGAATAAACTTGGGTGTTTGAAAGAATGGAGGGCAGAACAAGATCAGAATTCAAGAAGCAAGGCAGCCAGTTTGTGTGCTACACGAATAAAACTTTGTACAAATTTTAACTTGAGACTTTGAAGATTTTTTTTACTTCGCATTGGACAGCATTAAAGTCCAACACTTCAATACTCTAGAGGAAGATCTGGTAGAAAGTTGTGTGAGAAAGCAACAGCAGGAGCAGAAGGAATTTTCCTGCAATTCATTTTACCTCATCCTCATTTGACATTTTCATGCTCTTGCTTGTTCTTCACGTTATATCTACAAAGTTACGACTTTCGTAAGAGTAAGAAAGGTTAATCGTTACTTTCAAACAACGTATTTGGGAGACATCGGTATTAAAATAAACGATCATTGCATAGAGATAACGTTACACCTCTATGTTTTCAAAATACTGTACCTTTCTTTCTCATGGGAGAAAATTTCAATAAGTGGGAAAACATTCATTCAACTTCCTTCATTTGTTTGGATGCCATGCTTCATTTTAATGGATTTGAAAGGAAACATATTGAGGCAACATACTGCTTAGCAGCATCATCTGATCAGGTGAGCATTCATACATGAGTACAAGGAATTTTCTTAATTTAACCAGCAAACTTCATCTTATTTTACAGACCCATGAACTTGTACAAGACCAGCAAACACTGTTCTTCCAAAGCTCTCAATCACTGGACACTGGTGGTGATAATCATGCTATGGGTAAGGAAAAAAATCCAACTTCACAATCTAGAAACTAATAAACTATTCTCTGTTCTGTCCACAGCAGATTTTGCATCCAACGGATTTTGTTACATGATGATGGATGCATGGACATGTACGGGTGACATTGACGTCCGTTTGAGTACTAACCGAGACTCCGTAACTGTAGTTTTCTCAGTTCAGTAGTAACGGATTACCTTCTTACCGACCCAAGAGGTTCCTGGTATCGTACATAGGTGTGATTTACACCAAGAGAAGGATGACATGCTGGAAGTAGGTGTGTACTGAGATGCAAAAAAACATGTATATATCCATCAGTTTTTTGTAGTGTGCCTAACAAATAATTTGCAAATATATTCCTGTATCAATATACAGTACTCATCCCTTCTTTTTTCAGTTGGCAGATTGGAGCTAATATTTGGTCATTTCCCATGCTGATGAACATGCTGGTCTACTTCACCTGGACTGTTGCACCTCAGTTTCCTGCTGTTATGTGTTTGTCATTGTATGTAGTATTTTGATGCTTTTATTTCATTGATCCTATTCCATATGTCCATTGATGTGAAATGGTTTTTTGTATATTACTTTCTGGTTGCACAAAATGATATTGTCAGCAAGAATATGCTCTCTTATTTAATTGTATGGGTCTATTAGAAGAAGGTGCATTTTAATGCACAACACAGTGGCCCATGGAAAATTAGTATTTTTCTTTTAGGGCATTATCTGCTTTGACTGATTCAAAACTTTTGCAAATCCTTTTACCCTGAGAATCTAATAAATTTGACATTCTTCACACAATTTGACCCTGACATATGCCCTTCAACCTGAGCATGAATTACCCATCAAACTCCAAACGCCCTCAGAAAAAACTTGAAATGATACCTGGAAAAGAAGAAGAAACTAGTCATCTTAACATCCTACACAGGGAGTTAATTTTTCTTCTCTTTACAAAGATTGTAAACATTTTAAGCACACCTGCTTTGAATCTTCAAAAATGAATTAATTTGTTATAGAAGAGAAAAATGCTTACTAGCCTCAAATGAGATATGGCTTCTCCTTGTTTTGAGAGGATAACTGAGCCAGGTATTCAAAGCATGTATTCCATGCCCACCATCACTGGAGGAAAAGATTGCAATATGCTCTGTAGAAGGACATTGAAAGAATAATTCCATTATTGCCTAATGAAAGAATTGTTGGGATTTTCACAGATGATATTAAGTTGTCACCAATTCATGTCAAAAGAATTTGATGAGATGCTGAAACCAGGTGTGTACTACAGTAAAAGCTGAAAAGTTTTTGTCAATCAGTTTTTCAGAGTTCTGCAGAGTGTGCCTCAAGGGGCATTTCCAAATGTATCATTCTAAGACTCAGTTTGTGTTTCAGATTACAAATTGGAGCGGATATTGGGCTATTCCAGTTGCTAATGGAAATTTCAATTTGGACATATTGGTCTTCCTCACCTGGACTGTGGTACCTGAGTTTCCTTTAATGTGTTTTCCATTGTCTGTTTTATTCTGATTTTGGTTACAATCAGCCATACAATTTGTTTTTACTCTTTGTCTGATAATAATGTTACGTTTCTTATTAGGAATATGCTTTTTTCTTAAATTGTGTTGGCCTTATTGGAGCATTCCATTGCACAACATACCAGCCCATCAAAAAACAATTTGTGTTATGGCATCCACCAGCTGCAACCCATCAAACACTGTTGGAAAATCATTTAACTTCGAGGATTATGGGAAGGGTATCAAAGTAACCACTGAAACACACCCCAGTTGATTTTTTCAATATGAATTGGATTGGAATTCGGTAAAAAAAGTGCTTTCTAGTTTTTACCTCTCTTAAATGAGGCATGGTTTCCCCTAGCATCAGGAAAATGACTGATCCCAATTTTTTCCCATAAATGTGACACCCATTTTGATTTATTATTGTGGTTGAAATCTTCAGTTTGGTACTATTTCAGAGTGGAGGAAAAATTTTTCTCATGCTAAGATATCTTACAAATCACATATACATATTTGACGGTATATATTTGAACCAGTTTTCAATTGCAGAAACATAACTGATATTTGCCTACTTGCTTTTTGTCTTCCATGCTCATGATTTCACTCCCTCAAGGATGTGTTTCAAAACTGAGATGACTGAAGAAAAACCGAAGTTGCGCAAAAATGTAAGAGTATATAATTATGTGGGTTGAAGAAGGCAATTTCAATATTAAATTGAATCATTCAAGCTCATTTTCAAGGATCAGCAAGTCAATCCTTGGGGAAGCATCCCAGATTATGCTGGCTGGCTCATGACCATCTCCACAGATTGGCAAGAGAGGGATGGAGGGAGGGGTGCCTGCTTGTTTTGAGGACAAGAGTGAACTGGAGGAGTGAAGTGCGACCAGAAACCTCTGGTGAAAGGCAATTTTTCTGTCTACTCATTCTGAGTAGAAAAACAGGATGGGGAGGCCTCCCCCCCCTCAAATCCATTCATCCAGCAGGGAGAGGGGGCCCACACCCATGGAGGCAAATCACCCAGGATGACTTTGCCTTTCTTTGATTTTTCTTTTTGGCCTGAAGAGTTTTTTGAATAAGTTGCCCCATAGGCCCATACAGACCTGGAAAATGCATTCTGCTGGATTAGGTGAAGATCAGTATAGATGTTACCAGCAATTCTCATGTGGGTCTTCAGTTCCACTTGGAAACTGGTGAGAACATGTTGTGCTTCAGGATTCTGTGGTGGAAACTTGGTGTAACTATTTTACAATTCTCAGTTTCTGTATTCTTCTTCAAATTATTGAATGTTCCTCTCTAATCATGTTCATGTTGCTTACCAAGAAAATTATGACTGGCAGAAACTTGTAAAACAAGAGTGATTGGAATCAGTAAACTACAGACAAGGTTCTTCACCACTAGTTTTTGAGTTTTCCTTGTCCAGAAATTCTGCTGATATCATATCAGGAGGGATAACTTATCAAGTGCCATATTCACAGACCAAATACTCTGTAGTAAAGTATGCTGCATTTTACTCTGGATTTAGTATCTTCAACTTTTATATGAATCTCAACTGAAGCTGTTCACAAAATCTGCAGGGAAAGAAATTTTTTCAGGTATAACTATAGCCATGATCTTATCTGATTCACTCTCAGATATTCGCATTTCTTCAATGTTCAAGACATTTTCAAGAAAAAATTACTGCATTTTCTTCTCTGCACAGAGTTGGACCCCATTTTGGCATTAGATACTAGTTAAAAAGGGCATAATGCTAATAAACCTAGAAATCTTGTTGCACTGTAAACAAAATGGGAAAATCTGGTATCCCAATGCTTTGTCCCCAAGACAATGAGTTGCAAATTTCAAGGTTAAATTATGCACACTTTTTTAGAGATAGAAAAGTTGAATGTGAAATTTAGACCCAAGGTGGAGAATAGCCATTCTTGTTGAAGTTTCCATTGATGCTAAAATGTCCATTGATGCCATAACCTCTGCTTTGCTGGAAAATTTATACTGAGAACATAATTTTTTTCTTCTTTTACTATACTACACAACTATTTTACAAACCAATTCCACCATATTCACCAACATAAGTTTTTTAAGAGAGAAGGTGTATGTGTTCTGTAGCTGTGATGTTCAATAAGTGATGTCAGGAAGTGGACTAGTCAAGAATTGCATTGCTACAGAGAAACATGTAATTGCTTATTAGAATACCTGCGCATCTTATTCTGGATGAATTCCAATCAAGCTTGGCTCATGGTCCATCCTCTGGCTGGACACATACAGAGAATTTCAATTCACTCCACCCTGTGCTATATATTTGAGTAAGAGTCTGGATATGATCCATAATTCTTGCCATGACATTTTATTCCCTTTTCTGCTTCCTCATTTGGTTGGATTTCAATACCAGAGGATAAATGGAGGATCAAAAGAATTATCAGTACATTCTGCATGTTAAGGATCCTTTTGGGGTAGACTTGAAACATTGGGAAAAACACTTGACTTAATTTTCCAAGGGTGGGAAATGAAAACAGGGGCTCAGAAATGAATCTGGTGGGATTTCTTCACTATTGGGTAAGTGTTGTCTGCTTCTGGTGCATCCACACATGGGATATGATTTTGGAGTGGTCTGCTGTTGTTGAGTTTGTCATTGAGTTCTTGCAGCAAGTATTGCACTGGTTGTTAAACCCTTTAGAGCTCTCAACTTGGTCTTTTTCTTTGCTGATGGTCCTGCTTATGAATAAGCAGGTTGTTATCCTTATTGGGAGAAATCAATAAAAGACTCTGTCGCAACTCTAGAAGAACGTCTTCTTCTGGATGCAATAAACCTTAGACAATTTTGATTCCCAAGAATAAACTTTCAACGAGAAGATTA